TGTCACGAGGGGATATAGGTGAACCAATTAAAAAAATGAAAAAATTAAAAAGTGAACCAATATTCTTCATTTTTGGTAAAAAGATTTTCTACGATATGAGAATTCAAAATACTAAATTAATTATAGCCGGATTGACCAAACACCCCAAAATAAGGAATAATGTGGAGTACTGTTATCATAAAAAGTGGACTGATGCCGCCCTTTTAGGTAGAGAGATATGCTATACAATGGAAACTCCAAATACCAAATTACAGACACAATACATGAATCAATATTAATAATTGAAACCCCAAATTACAGAAAATTCGGTTGAAAACCATGGCCAACTATCCAATCAAATCTTTGTCTTAAATTTTGCGATTACTATCGTGCTTTCGTCAAAAAATTTTAATCTGTTCAATAATATATACACAAATTTAATATACATTTTACCTTAGGGTGAATGGTATGAAATGCTTACTTGGGTTTGTGATACCGTTATGTGGAAGTTGTAGAAACATATTGGGAAATAATCTAATTAAATCCGAATCCTAAATGACAATTCCGGCTATTGATGTCTAAATTATATGACATTATTTAAACTAATTTTCCATGAATTCAATTATTACAAAAATTATATCCACGGAAATTTTAGAAGGGATAACAACGTTTGCCAATTGCACTGTTTATAACTCAAAACAAAAATCGTAAAGTATCCTCGAAAATTATTCAATTATAAATTAATTTATTTTCTATAGCAACAAGACTCGGTCATAATCATAGATACTCGGAACTCTAATGTTACTTTATGTGAATGTCATGGTATTAAAGACCCAACCCAACTGAATCTCGATATTCTATAGATTCCGATGCAACGATCAAGATTGGTATATGGGAAATAGATATAAAATGTTTATCTATACCAATAATTTTCATGGATATTTCTTACCCAAAAAATTGCTAATGCAGGTATGAATAGATATTGAAAAACAAATCTAATATACCGAAAATTATTCCTTAACAATATTGCTAAGCAAGACAAATTTTGCCGGTCCCGCTAGTAATTTATAATTATATAATTGAATGTACATTGTATGCACAAGGATGAAAATCAGAAGACATTCGGAATAGATTTCTGATTCTAGATTATTTTTCTTAAAAGCACCTAAAATGTTGCTATGTCACGGCAAATATCAAATCATGTGGTACAATTATATGGTGGTTGTATGCCCAATCGTTGGTCAATGTCTTTGAACTTATGATGAACCAATATTGGTTGAAACACTGGAATCGAATATTGGGGTAACGTTATATGGGAGCTACATCAAAGAGTTGACCAATATAGATAATTTTAGTAGAATTCATTCTACTAAATAAAACAACCAAATGCCAAATTACAGCTGATTAGAATTAAAAACGTGTCCAAATCCCCTACAGCATCAAAAATGTGGAGTGCTATTATATAGGAGATATTTGGAAGTATGGGCGAATATAAAATTACATCTAAATACCGAATATTAAGGGATATCGTTATATTGGGGCTATCCGAATACATGGGTCAATATTGATATTATTAATTAGGCGGATGTTCCGCTCCATAGGGGTCCCTAATATTAAATTATAATCAATTCTGTTGAATATGGGGGTACCGTTATATGGGGGCTACCCAAAATTGAACATTTTCAATATCAAACATCTTATGAGTAGTTGAAATAAATCGTGGAGGGTACAAGAAGCTGACATAATATTGCGCTACCGTTATATGGAAGTCTTATAAATAAATTGGGAAACATTTTATAAAATCCGAAAGTCAAACATATATGTGCATTTAAATTTGTTAAATTTATTTTCAACGAATTCAATTATAAATAAACGTATATCGTTAGCTAAAATGCAAAAAGGCGTAACTAACAAAAACATAATTGTGTAGGAGAAGCAAAAAACTGTTCTGAATGAAAACCATAAACATGTCATGAGAAATGAAAAAGTGTGCCCGGCAGGGTGATATTGCATATGACGAATAATATACGAATAAGACTATAATTTTTTTAACAAATTTAGTTTTTTAGTTTAATGGCAGTCATAACAATTAAGTTAAAACGGGAATTTTTTGTTAGTTACGACTTTTTGCATCTATCAAATAAACCCACTTGTAGTTACGTCTTTTTGTTTTTTGTTAATAGAAGCTCCTGTTTTGATCGCAGACGTGTAAAACTTTGTCAACACATGTAGTTTATTGACATTCACAATATTCATTGAAAAAGTCAATTTTCAATTTTTTGTTAGTTACGCCTTTTTACATTTTAGCTGACGATATCCACCGAAACTTTAGAAGGAAACAAGTGAAAAAGCGTTAAGCGTATACCGACATTTCTACAAACCGATTATGTAAACAATAATTTTTAATAGAAAATTATACCCTCAGCCTTATGGCTAATTAGTGTGTATACACTTTCACACGGTGAAAATGTGCCTCATCGAATTATTGGAAACCCCATGTTTCTTTGGACCAAATCCGTTTCGGATTGATTTCGTCCCATCTTATTATTTCTTCCAAACTTAGTTCAAGACCGAATTTGGGGAATATCGGTCCATGCCTTCTGGTACCTCCCACACAGGGGCTACGGCTAAGCCTAAATGCGGGCTATAGTTCACATATCGTTCATTATCGAACCGTACGTTCTAGTTTTTTTATCTCGATATCCTTCGCAGGTAAAATGATTACAACAGAGTGTTAGAACCAAACCCAAAACGCGGAAAAATCAGATAATTATTTTAGTATAAAAAATGCGGTTATATGGGGACTACCCCTAAAAGGGGTTGACTATTAATAACACTGTGCGACACGGGGTTCTAATGTACCAATTCTCTTTAGTTGGAGTCTCTGGACCACGAAAATATCTTTGGTTTTTCTGGGTCACTTCGAAAATTAATTTTATAACGGTAAATATAGAGAAAAACGTGGTTTCATGGATTTTCTATTTGAAACTTGAATAACTTATTTACTTTATAACGGATTTATATTATTCTTTTTTCTTTCGAAGAGTAAAATTTTTCCTTTCAAGCATGATATATATTTGGTAAATCGGTTGAGGATTGGCTGAGTCGCAGCGGTTAAAATGTTAAAAAATACGCATAAAATGACAAAATTTATTTTTCTTCGGACTGTACGATGAAAATATGATATCAAGCCATACAAGTTTTATTATATTACGGGGAAGAAAATTAAATTAGCTTTCGAAAATGATAAAAATAAAAAAATCGGTTAAAAATGGATGACTTATACACATTTTTGTATTGATTCTATGCATATTCTCTAAAGAAACTATGGGTCTATCTGGTTTCCTTCTACCTGTTGCAAACATAACGGTTTGTAACATACATACATATGTATGTATATAATAATGAATTGCTGTTCGTTAGTCTCGCTAAAACTCGAAAAAGGATGAACGGATTTTTCTTATTTTAGTCTTGAAATGTTCGTGCAGCTTCAGGGAAGGTTTAAAAGGTGAGAAAATTTTGAAAATCGAGAAAAATTTGCAAAAAAAAATATGAAGCATATTTGCATTTCCGCGAATTTAATATCGAGCTATATGGATTGCACCACGTCATATATGTTATTTTGAGATATTTTGGAACAAAATTGTTGGTGGATCATTCCTAAAAGCATTCATTTGTCAATTGTTAAAAAATTTCAAAATATTTTTTTCAATTGAATTGACATTGTGTTGAAACTATTTAATATGAGAATAAAAAACAATAATTGAGAAGTATATCATTGAATCTACACGTTGTCCATAAATTGTACGTGAATTTTGGGACAATCGCATGGATGAAAATCAGAAGATATTCGGAATAGATTTGTGATTCTAACTTACAGACCTAGATTATTTTTCTTAAAAATTCTTTAAAGTACATAAATGTTGTACGCCTCGTTGGTCAATGTTCTTGAACTTATCAACACAACGCCTCGAATATATTCTAAAATGTGTATCACAGAGAATACTAATTTACAATTATATTTTCTTTGCAAAATTATATCACTAATCTCAAATGGAAAGATAGTTTGATAGTTGATCAAACAACAGCAAACTTAAAAAAACTCCGCCAAAAACATTTATTATAAAAATTGAAGATGTAACTATAAAATTGCAAATACCTCAATATGACAACTACCGATGTATACAGCATTAATTGGTAGTACGTTGTTCGTTCCTTGAAAAAATAATGTCAAAATTACAGATACTCAGGTTGTAAAACGGGTTAAGAACTTTAACATACCAAAAATTAAACGGGACATATGTGTGGCGTCTTTTAAAAACGTTAAGTTATAGTGCACAATTTCTGGGAATAAGTTTTTCATTCACAGGAATCCATTATGTCAAACTCTAAAGGAAAATTCGGTCAAAGTCATTATAATACCGAAAATGGGGGAACCTATATGCCGAGACTATATCAATATTTTCGGCCACTGGCTCTACCCTAAAAAGTGAACAATAGGAGTAGTAGTATGTGTGCTTTGATAAATAAAAAATCTTTACGCTCCATCTTATGGTGGAGGGTATCGTAACAAACCTAAAATGCCGATAATTCTACATAAACAATACCGCTAGGCAAGACAACGTTCGCGGGCCCGCTAGTTCCCAATAAATTTACAATTAAGAGGGGAATGAAATTATGAGGTTACTTTTGATTGATTTCCGAATGAAATTCGTAATCAAAATGTATTTGCTAGCCTGTTATTTACATATGTTGGTGTAGCAAATAACTTCAGTCGCACACAAAAGTACATAGGGAGCCTCATTCATTTATGCAGTGTCTCTGTCGGAGGACGCGTTTGGGCGAAATGTACATTTTAATCATACACATTTTAATCATATATAAACGTACTCTTCGTCAACATGAGCAGAAAATGAATGCAAATTTTGAGCCGGTATTATATGCTGTTGAAATATAAACATGATTATGGCGTTTGTTAGACTGTGTTGATGATAATTGTTTGTGTGTTTCTGTATTTTTAGGTTGCCTGGATTAAATCGGACTCCAAAGCAATACTCGGAATTCACACCCATATGGTATCCTTAAATCCTAGATTATCAGTGACACACAATGGCCACAACACCTGGAAACTTCACATATCCCATGTACAACTAAACGATTCGGGCAGCTACATGTGCCAAGTGAATACAGACCCCATGAAGAGCCAGGTAAGTGCTTATCAGTCTATCCCCACAAAACCTCCATTTACACACAATCACACCAACTATACTCACACACACACACGCACTGTTTACAAATGTACACGAGAGACACTCTAAGCCAACACCTGCCCATTTAGTCTGTTGTGTCTCGGTTACAGTCATTCCTTTTAAGCTTGTTTATAAATTTTCCACAACACCGCCTGTATGTGTGTGTGTGTGTGTGTATGTCCACATCCGTCTCCCAGAATGACCAACACTTGCAAATAGCAGTGTCCTTCCGTTTTCTGCCACTGTATCACACACACCCTCAGCTAACTACAGCCGGAACAACATTCTTATCCCATTCTCATTCCCATTTACCCACAGCACACGGAGGACTTGGTGACTTTTTATGTGTTTATTTACTTTCCTAATATCGACCGGCAAAATGTTTGCCCGTAACAAATTTTACAAATTCTAGGTAATTTGGATTTTGTGGTGGGTCAGTATTTTGGTAGAATTGATGGTATATCTAAATTTAGTAGGGGGAAGATATGGAATTGTATTTTTAGCCAACATCGGTAAATGATAGCACTAAAGCCGGTATTTTGGTCGGTGTTAGAATTTTCACCTTAAATGAAATTATACTTCGCAAGTAGAAAACTTTAAAAAATTGTCCAGTTTCCAAGTAATAATAGTCTTTTCCGTTGCAGTATTGAACTTAAAAAATGTGAAAGTAAACTACTGTGTTTTATAAAGTAAAACTATATGATTCAGATAATATTTTTTAAGTTGGAAATTTAGCACATTATAAACGTATATCTCCGAAACAGCATGGTCCCGCATCGCCCTGTGGCAAATTTTTGCATATTATTGGAAATGATACCCTCTTCTATTGACTTTTGAGAAAATGCATAGAATCATTTTCAGACTCGCTTTATGCATGTCCGCTCGTCAGTCTGCCCAGAGAGGAATCCTATTGATATTGGTGAAAATTGATTCAAATTTAAATATAGATTCTATATATATTATAGTCTGATTTGATGTTTAAGACAACATTTTGCATTTTGTATTGAGTCTGGAATAAAATATATTGAGTTTTGTTAAAATCGATTTAGGTGTATATTTTCGGACAATTTTATCTAAAAGGTACACCAAATTTCCACCGGTTCATGCCAATTATGGACTAAATAACCACTGTTTGTCCGATTGAGATAAAATTTTAGACAGCGTAGAAGACTACAGCATACCGAACAGTGTGTGTCAATTTTTCTTCTATTCCGTCCAAATTTTTGTATAGCTTTTATATATAATGTTTTGATTTCGTACAAATGGCGCACCAAAGTCATGTTTATCCGAATGACATGAAATATTACATAGATTTCAGAATGATCAATAATAATATACCTATTAAACCACATATTCAATTTCATCCGATTTCATGTCAGTGGACCTCCGAATATGCTATGTTATACAGGATAGTGTACACATTAAGGTTATGACTTTTATACCTTTTTCTCAAAAACGATAATTATGTTTTTGTGAAAACAAATCAGTTTTTATTTTCTTTCAATACCATACATACCATACCGATGGGTCATTTCCGACTTTAACGGCTGACCTTGTCCCACTTAAAGGTATCCTGCATAGCCGTATTAATTATAGCCGTATAACATGGCTTTAAACACCTCTGAACGGATAGGTCTGTCGAATGCGGCTTTATAGTCGACGAATATGTTGTATGTGTCGATGTGTTTTTCGTGGGTCTTTTCCAGGATTTGGCGCAGAATGAAAATCTGGTCAATGGTGGATTTGCCAGGTCTGGCTGCAGTCGTTCACACAGCACATTGGATAGCACTTTATATGCAATGGGAAGAGGGTTAATTCCTCTATAGTTGACACATATCGTCTTGCCTCCTTTTTTTGTGCACGGGACACAGGATGCTGAGGTTTCAGTCATTGGGCATGCATTCCTCTAGCCAAATTGTACTAATTAGCTGGTGCATGCTCCTGACCAGCATCTGACCACCAGTCTTAAATAGTTCGGCTGGTAACCCAACGGCTCCTGCTGCTTTACTGTTCTTGAGCCGATTAATTGTTTTATGACCTCATCTTGGCTAGGTGGTATACCATCATCTCTTATTGGTTCTGGGATATCTTCTTCACCGTCACTATTTGATACCAGAAGCTTTTCAAAATGTTCCTTCCAGGTTTCTTTCTTCATCTCGACAGGAGAATGTGCCTGCACCAAAACCTTCGGTTTGGTGTTTTACTCGTTGGTAAAATTTCCGGACTTCATCTCGATTTGCTCACGCTCACGTTCTTCTTGTTCTTTCTTCTTTTTTTCTGAAAACACGTTTGTCCTCTCTCCTTTTCTTCCGATAATTCTCCATCACATTACGTGTTGCTTCTGTCTGTAGGGCTGCGTTTTTCACATCATTAGCATTACGATACTCCTGATCGTACCATGGGTTTCTTGGTGGTGGTTTTTGATACCCTAGTATCGCTTTTGCTGCAGTTTGTAGGGAGTTAAGACAAGTGCGAATCTTGGCTGCTACAAGGTAGTGGTCCGAATCGATATTCGCTCTTCGGATCGATCGAACATCTAATACACTGGATGAATGCCTTTCGTCTATCACAACATGATCAATTTGATTTCTCGTTGCTTGATCAGGAGAAATCCAGGTGGCCTTGTGTATATCGAGATGCTTGAATCTGGTGCTGCTAACTACCACGTTTTTTGCTTCCGCAAAGTCAATCAACCTCATGCTCTTGTCGGATGTTACTTCATGAAGTCTGAATTTTTCGACGGTGGGGCCAAAAATATTTTCCCTTCCGATTTTTGCATTAAAATATCTAGCAGAATTTTAATGTCATGGCCAGGGCAGCGATTATATGCTGTTTCTAGGCGCTCGTAAAATATGTCTTTGGTCTGCTCATTTTTTCTTCGGAGCATGGGCGCAAATAAGACTGAGCATCTTTTATTGCCCTGTTGACCAAAAATTCTCGTTTCATGACAACTTTGCGTAATCGGGCGCAAATAAGACTGATGTAGAAGAACTTCGCTTTTATGCGGATTATAGCAATTCGCTCATCTACTGTAGTGAATCTGGAGACGAGGTCTTTTATTGCCCTGTTGACCATATCTCCGCTGCCAAATTCTCGTTTCATGACAACTATAATACAGTGCGTAATCGTCTGAATTAATTACGCCTGTCCCTTTCCATCGCATTTTCTGTAAGTTTGCGTGGCTCGTCAAAATTAGGTGGTTTTGTTTTTCTTTTTCTATGCTTTTTCATAGTACGAGGGGTTTTCCGAGTGTGGGCAACTAACCCGACGCCTCGATCCATTTTTATATCTCTTATGGGTGAATTCGCGTCACAAATCAGTTCACTATTTCAACGGGTTATGAAAATAGCTACCCCAGATGACACCACGGGGTGGTCAGTGTCCACAATTGCCTGGACTTCGCCATGTTAAAACCAATCAGAGCCGTTGCTTGGTATCTATCATCCCCTACGCCACTAAATCACGACGATTATTTCCTCCATAAAAAGTCACAGAACTTCTGAGCAAAATGAGTAATCGAATTTCAAATAGTTTTGTGGACAGACTTATTGACAATATTCTCAGCCGTTTTTATTGTTCGTCTTTGATTTCTGTTCGATGTTGAACGCAAATCTCACATGAACTATAGCCCAAATGTAGCACGGAGAAAAATTCATATAAATAGGGGTGGTTAGTAACTCACTTACATTCGTTCGCCTTCATTAATTTATATATATACAAATGAAGTATTCTAATAAATTTGATTACCTACATATTTATTCGGTTTAGGTCGATTCGACATCAGTATTATTTGGTACAACACTAGCCAGAAATGTGTGTTCAATTCCACTTTCAAAATATCATATCTGTACCTAAATTCGAGTACATATGCATGGATGTTCTCGTAAGCAGCGATATGTTTACTTTTAGTTTTCACAGGCCCAAAACTCTTCGTATTTGGTCGAAAATGAATCAACGATGTTGATGCTAGGCCAACCGCACCATACCACCGACAGCTCAGAATAAAAGAAATCAGAATTAAGTAAAAAATAATAAACACATTTCGAGTAATTGGGGATTTAAAGTTTTAGCAAATGTTACCTCAATACAAATGAACATATGTTCAGATTAGTGTGCATGTGTGTGTGAGTGTACAAATGTGTCTGTGCAATGTAGATGTGGATTGGGTACAAGAATGGTCATATATATGTGATTCCATTTTGGAATGACCAAAAGGGATTACAATCCCACACATGAACAAACGGCTGCTGTAGCCGACGTAGCATCACGGTCACGACCAGGCCAAAGACCAGGAGTAAGAGCCAACAATAAACTATTTGTATATTGGTCGATTTTAGGAAAATCCTATATGAAATAACATCATTTCCAATGATAATGCCTTCAGAAAACAACCTACCATCTGTTTCGTAGGCTTACTCGTTGCACGAATGTGTATGTCCGGTGTCGGTGAACATGTATGCATGTGAGTATGTATATTTCTATAAAGATGTGAATTACAAAATATTTGTCTATCCACAGGGGTTTATTTATTGGGCTCTAACATTGTGGCATCGTCTCTTGCTTCTTCTTCCGTTCTTCATCCGTTTCATCATCTTCATTAACAGCCAACAATGTAAACAGAGATTCTTTTTAATTACCACCCTGTAAGACTTTTGGTTTTAATGTTTAATCTACCACAAAACAATACGTTTTGTTAGAAATAGAATATCCTAGCTTCGAAATCTCCACTGACCATGTAATGTGAATAGGTACTCGTATATTTCAATGGCAAATTGAATTGCAATCCTTTACAGGCATTTATCTAAGATTCAGTTTCACGTGCAAGTTATCCAGACCTTTGGCGCAGAGACAAATAAAATATATATTGCGATGAACGAATTCCCGATATGGCGATTTATAATTCATAATATGTTTTTAATGTAATTGGGAAACATTTTTAGTATACGTTTTCTTTTTCT